TGTTGAGTATGTTGTAATCAAGACTACAAGAAAGAGGCAAAAGTATTTCATAGTTAAAGTAACACTAAACTTATACAGAGCGAGAAACTGATATATAAGTTGGTAGCGGATTCCTGGAAATGATACAGAAGTGAAGCGTTCAAAAGTGGGTTACCGAAACCTGCGGAAACTTTCTGAAGAACCCAATATTTTGAAGACCGTAAGGGTAATGCGCATTTATCTATGACCTTCTCATACCCTCCATAATTTTTTTGACATTCAAGCCACTAGGTATCAACCAGGCTGACACTACATAGGCTCGTCGTAAAGAGGTTCGTCAGAATAAGACAAGAATACTCACATGAACTCTGCCCACTCGAACTCGAATGCCGTTAACATAACCGGTTTTCAGTTGCACGAGAAGATCCAGAATGTGATCGAAATACTCTCCCACAATGTTTTCCTCACGTAGGAGAAGGCACATAGTCGGCCGCCCAGTCAGTTTCCATCGCCTTGCAACAAATTCGATGTCTCGCTGGAAAAAAGCATCGCTGTCAAATAACTATTGAAAATACCAAAATATCGAATATAATAAAAAATTGAAGATGTAAGAGTTAGGAAAATGCAAGGAGGGTGGAGATAACTGCACTTATAGTCAAATGATGTAATGCGCAATCAAAAGGATTCATACGACTTTCAATCAAAGCCAGACACCGAGAAACGTTGGCGCTACGTACGCCATAAAAGAAACTCTCGATGCGTATGCTAAGTTCTATGGTCATGAAGTATAAGAATGCATTCAAGACAAAACTCAATGTGATTTAGAATGACTGTCCGATAAATCTTCAAATAGAAGAAATCGAATCATCCACCGTTTTGAGGCTGGTGTCAGAGTCCGCGATCCGTCGCAGGTTTCGCTGATTTCGCGATTTTCGCGATTTGCGCGATTTTCGCGATTTGCGCGATTTGTCGCGATTTTCGCGATTTCGCGATTTCGCGATTTGCGCGATTTGCGCGATTTTCGCGAAACCTGCGATGGATCACAGGAGTTGGAAGTGCCCGATGAATACTGCGTGCTGTTTAACACGTTGACGACCGTGTGGTATGATGTCATACCACACTCTTTCGGCCACGTGGGACCGTGTGACATGATGTCATGTCACAGTCTTTTTTAAGCTGGTTTTCAAACATTTTAGGTAACTTATTTACGTGATGTATGCGCCATACTTAGGCATTGTTACAAAAGGCGTGGTCCCTGGAAAGAAGCTTCGGTTAATGGGCTATCGAGTTTTTCAAAAAATGTTTGAATAATGATCAGTAGCCGCAGTTTTTGGGCTTAAGCTAAACTAATCGGAACAAAAAATGTTCGCAATGATAACTGCTGCAATGGGTAAGGACACTTTTGGTAGAGGACGAATATGTGCGTGCCCTTTGATCCTGCCTAGTTGTAGCCGCTTCTGCGTTGTCTGGGGACGTTTCCCTATCCCTCTGATCCTCATTTCCTGCAAATCCTCGAGTCTGTGAGTGGTTTTCGACACATAGTCGACTGCAAGTCTAACGATCATTTCTATAAGCTCAAGATACAGGGACCAGTAAGTGATCTAGGAGGATACCCTCTCAATCGCATGTCAGCTTTGGACCCTTTCTACGCTATCTCAAATCGCAGGAATCGCTGAAATGGTCAGAATCGCAAATCCGAGACCTACCACACAAGAAAGATAACAAATACACACTTCCTGAGAAAAAGGAGTTCTCGTGGGACCGTGTGACATGATGTCATGTCACACTCGCGCGGTCAAAATAATGCGCGCGGTCCCACACGCCAGACAGCGAAAACGAGCGCGGTCGTCAACGTGTTAATCCTGCTGCGGATGTCGCATGACAGTGAAGATTAAAAGACGACTGTTCATGATTCTACTTGTTTCATGTTCATTGTCTATCAGTTCATTGAAATGCTCATGATTCGGATCGCAAAAATTGCAAGTGCCCCATTTGAACAATTGAAACACTGAATATGAAACAAGTGGAATCATGAGCAGCAGTCGTCATTCAGCCATCACTATCAAGCAGAAGTGGCGGCGGATTGGAGAACACCTTGCAGTATTGATCGGGCACTTGTGATTTCCGTGACCCGTCGCGTGAATCGCGCAAATCGCTGAAATCAGCGAAACCTGCGACGGATCGCGGACTCTGACACCAGCCTTACGCTTTATACTATTTTGCCTTGCTTCTCTTGGATACGAAGGATTCAACACTTAGCATGTGACAAGTCTTCAAAAATCAGTTTTCGCAAAGAAAAACAAACCTTGATATCATCGATCAAAACAGCCGGATCAGAGTTTACGTAAAAGTCTTTAACCTCGAACAGAAGCGGATAGCACATCACCGTGTCTCCAAAAACGCGGAATACCTTCAAGGCAACAGAATCAGGTGTGGATAATAAATGATTGCACAAGTTTTCCAAATGCACACCTTGGAAGTACTCAACGGCCCAAACGGTCGAGGTGGTCTTCCACTGAGTCCTAGCTTCTCATCTCTCCCAAGACATTCGAATAGCTAAAACGGCTAGACGCGTTATTAAATGAAAAGTCACCAGTATCAATGAAGCGGTAATAGATGAGCCGGAAGTCGGCTCTAGTGGTCAATAGTAAGAAAAACTTCCATAAACACATTAGGTTGTCTCATAATTGGCAAACGACTTTGGCAATTTTCGATCTTGTTCCTTATTACTTCTCTGAATGACTTGCTTATCTGATCATACACCACCATTAATCGAAAGAATGACTATGCATAGGGGACTAGTTCCAAGCTTCCTTGGGAAATTCCGTGAAGTTTCCATCGACAAAGGATCAGGTGCCCCTTTTGACCATATCACTTTGCGCAAAAGTTCTTCCTGAACGCCAATGGTAAAGAACAGAGATTGTGGACCGGTTGCTGGCCGAGATTAGGGCTGCATGGCGTGGATCAAATGATTGTTACCCCTGGAGTCTCCGAATTGTTACGAATTTTCTGTGCCATATGGAGGTCAAACGGCCACAGAAAAGAACAGGCTCTGCCTTGCGTTGCTTTTTATTCGGAAACGTCGCCACTAAAGGATTCCACTATAAGAACGAGGGTCGAAGAAGGGGGGCCTACCTAGTAGAAAGGCAGGCGGACCCCTAAGGGTGCGGACCAACACGCAATTCGCATCGAAGGATATGCCCTGGCGATCTAGCATGGCCTTCCCTTGGCGCAGTTGGCCCGGGAACGCCCACCGACTATCTAATCACTCGCCGCAGGTCTATACGCGGCGAGTGATTAGATAGCAGAGAGAGCGTTAGCGTTGAAGAGCGCATCAATGCGGAAATCAACGGGCAAGGAAGGGGTCCCATTTCTTGGACTCCGGGGTTTCACATGGTTTCTTCTTCATCCCTGGTCCACTCACCACCTCTACCCTTACTTCCAATAAGCTACAGAAACTCGAGACCAACCAGCTCCACTACCCCAGTCTCCCTAATAATTGGTCAGCTGATAACACAAGTTCGATCTTTCACGCTTGTGTTGAGTTGTTAATGTTAAACAGACAAGTATATTTCAATAAGGTAGATCTGTGCAATGACTTGAAACCTGGAACCTTCAAGCGGAAAAAAAGCTCGCAAGAGGTCCATTTCGTAATGATTCTTCTTTTTTTTTCTTTTTTTTTTTCATTCCAAAGAAACATTATCAAGCTAATGAAGGCTCAAAATTCTTCTTGCTATTGGATGGGTTTTTGGGCGTTTTCTTTTTTTTTTTTTTTTTTTTATGCTAAAGAAACGGCGAAAATCACCTTAACCATTCTCCAGCTGGGCCAGATCTGAATAGGCTCCACTTCATGAGGAGTCTGGCAGCTAATGCCGTATGTGGAGAGCGTCATCTGGAGATGAGTCGACTCTGCTAATAAGGCAATTTGGACAACAGGGATCGCCTTCCATGCTACCCTGAAAATATTTTTTTGGTCAAGAACTTATAGTTAGAAAAAAAGAGGACAGCTAACTTGAAATTCCGAGTGCCGCTTGAACTGCATTGGGCGCTGGGAAGCAGGCAGATGTCTATTAATAGGATCTAAGTCCGATTTATGAATCAAACCTTCACCTGGAATTGAAACAAATTGAACAAAACTATGCACTTGAAGGAAATTAAAAAGACATACGGACGAGAAGCAGGATTATATACACGGCGTTGCTCCATAAATGATGTCCGAATTCCCGAGGATTTACCGGATAAAGATCGGTCGAATTCGGTACGGCACGTTCGCGTTCCATGTAGCACTCGTCCACGCAATAACATTCAGGAACCAGCATCCCACCAGTCACTATAGAATTCAGAAATTTGAGTGATTTTATCAAAAAATGCCAAAGGATGAATAAAGGGTACCATCTTCATCGTTAACAAGCAGACCCTGAAGTTTATCGAAATATTTATCAGCATACGCTTGATCTCCACGGAAGTATGCTGCAAAAAGCTTGATGTTGAAGTAGAATAAGAATATTTTCCACAAGCAAAAGAAAACCAAGAAAGTCGAGTGCGAAGCAAAAGGAGTGTTAGAAAATGCTTTTTAAAAGGTCATGAGCGCGCTTAACTGGTAGTCGGTCGCCAGCAAGGGCTGAGAAACTATTAGTTGAGTCATAAGTAATGTCCTTTTGTAAACCTTTGCTGTTCTCAACAAAAAAATGTTTATGGTGTTCTTGTCAATGTGTTGTGTGAAGACCTGATGGTCTTTCATCTAAGAAACCAAACCAGTGGAGCCTGCCAGAAGATGCGTAGTATGAAGAATCAGACACGGTGAATAAAAGGGCAGGTGATGGGCTTCTGAAGTTTCGAAGACAACTACTGCGTTTAAGCCCCAGCCAACTAATTGGAGCTCCAATTGCTTCTTGCAGTCGCTTCGTTTACCAGAAGCTGTGGATTTGCAGTAGACAAGCAGTGCCACAGACTTCATCGTTCGAGCCTTACAAGCTATCGAGAAACTGCACCATCTGGAGCAACATCTTCAACGGGGTGAGTGCGGACACAAATGAATATCTGACAAATCCTGCTTTCCAGAAATCGAGGTTCCAGTGGCCTTTTAAGACGTCAAGGGATATGAGAAAGGCGCAGTTGGTCTTAGCCAGATACAGAGTCTCAACTGGATGGCAGCTTAGCGAGCTCGAGATGACGTTCACCCAGAGAAGGTGTGCACAAAGTTCTATGCAGTATCTCAGCACAGACATTAGATGATGACACTACTGCCAGTGCAGACCCACTTTTTCCAGATGTGTGGAGTGCGGCTCCGTACATGAAACTGCTCCACCTAACGACAACTCTCAACCACATGTCGAGAGCCAAGGTCAGAATACTATACAAAAACAAGGCTTTCTGATTTCCGCCCATCTATCACATTCATATGACCTCATAGGAACCGACAACCACTTGTCCACACCTCGGCTGAACTTCTGAAGAGAAAGAGCCACGATGATAGTGAACACCTCAAGACGGGTCTCCGATCATTCTCTGCGTACATGATTGTAAACTTCGATGGAAGAATCCATATAGGACAGTTGCTATAATAATGGGAATGGCTACCCGTGGCTTTATGAAAAGTGTTGCGAGGCGAATATATAGTAGGCGAGCGAAAATATTAGTTTGGACAAAAATTGTCCGCCATTTTCATCTCACTTATAAGTTTATTATCAAAACCAAAAAACAACAACAATGCGTTATCTACAAACGCTCTTGAATAGTCCTCTCTAAAACTGTGCCTCCATCCCAGGCTTCACTGATTCTACGAGCAACATGCAAAAACATTCGGTTTGGAGCTCAACTTGCCCCCAAGTAGCAGGGCAAACTTTTGTATTGTGTAAGCTCCAGTGAAGTAAATACAAAGTATAGTACATGAAAGTACGCTTTCAGATTACAGCATAACCTGTGCGAGGATAATCGCAGAACAATCAAAGAATAGGAGCCTTTTGAAAAAAAAATGGAGGAACAAGTCATTGCTTCCACCTAATATGTATTGGGTTGTCCCATAATTTGTCGATTTTTGATCAAATTCAAATTTCTTCAAGTCGAATTAGTGTCATTGCGAAATATGTTGGTATGTCAAAGAGTGCATCTAGACCGTTAGCCAGGACATTTTGGAAGGTCAAACCCGCATCGGAATAACTGAGTAGAAGTCGAAATAGATCAATAGCAATAACGATTATGCTTTATGATCCTCAAATAGACGCTGTTGCAAGAAGGACACTAGATAAGATCAGCGCTGTGTTTGGCTCAGTCTCTGCTACTGATCGGTCACTGAGCTAGGTTCGGTCGCAATGGCAAAGACAATACGAGCTGTGCAAATCACCCTCGTCCTGGGCCTCCACTCACTGATGAGGATCCCTTGCGCCATGGATTGGATGTGCACACGGACGCTACTACCAGGGTATTGTGCAGACACCTGGGCCGTATGCTATGCTTCCCCGAAGCTAAGTGATCCAAAGTTTCCTTTAAATTTATTTGTTTTGAACGATATAGTTTCTTCATTTTCAGTGCATGTTTACTTTACCTACATACATACATTAAATGTAGGCCCTTTATCAGGGCAATCCCAGTTGGGAAGACAGAGAAAATTAAAGGATTTTCGTCCCCCAACCCCTTCGGGGAGGATAGCATACGGCCCCTGGGTGCAGCCGATGCACCAGCACATGCCATCAGGATGAAGTGGGCGGCAGCAGAATGAAGACTTGAGAAACCATATGCGCCGACCGAGAAGCAGGTCTGACCCTCTGGGGGAATTTCATTCTGTGACCTCATTAGCAGAGCGTTCCCTAGTTGATCACTAGTGGGGATGAGTCATGAGTTCACTACGACAACAACACGCAGCACGCCTGATGGCTACCTCGCAGCCAGGGCTCACCAGCTCAACAAAAGCCCAAACTCCGTGGTCAGAGAATATTGCTTTTGATTTGTTAGATTGAGTGGGTCTTCCGCTTTCACAGTTGTTTTGCTATATGCGGACAAGTATTGTGAATGCCATCGTGGAACAGCTCCCGGGGTTGGCCGCAGTAGTGGGAGAAAACCGTCCTAAACGTCCCAAAATCCCCTTTCTCCGAATAGACGCTCGACCTCACATTGCAAAGATAACTCGCTACGTTCTGAGGGAAACTGGCTGGACCACGATACCATGTCCATCGTATAGCCCTGGCATCACTCCATCGGGCTACCCCCTTCACAGTGCCTTGAGGCAGCAGCGGCGAGAGAAAAAAGTCACTAAATACAACCACTCCAAAAACGACCTTGCTGAATTCTTCAGCTCATAGCTTCACCCATTCTAGGAGGAAAGCATCCAAAGGTTCCCTGGCGAATGGATGCATATCGGTGATTATGATAATGGTTATATTTTTGATCAATTGGTTTTAGAAAAGATAAAACTCGATGAGAAGAAAGTGTCGAAATTCGGACAGGAATTATGGGACAACCCAATACTTGTGACTGAAGCTAATAATCATGGATCGGCGGCAGAAAAACACCAAAACGAATAGTGTAACTCGCAATGTGGATTCGAATCGTTCTCGTTGACTGCATGAATATGTTTGAAACTGCTCTCATGAGGTCAAAATCGGTTGCGAGACAAGAACAATGAGCGACATTGCGCACTACACTGTCTCACTTCGCAAGGGAGCGCTCGTTAAAGGAATCCTTCGCGGAAAAATCATGATTCTATTTCAGCCATAAATCACTGGCTTGAGACTCATTATCCACGATAATAATGAAAAGAACAGAAGTATTGCTTTCGTTTTGGTAAAAAAATTCGAAAAATCGACGCGTTCAAAGTGCCCACGGACGTCTTTC